TTGAAATGATTCCGAGAAGGATAAGGCTGAAGGCAAGCCAGTCGCTGACAATAGCACATGAGAAGCATGTCGCGATGCTGATGGTTATGGGTATTGTGGCTAGTAGTGCGTGATGTACGCTCATCATCCCCACTTGACGCATATCCGTAACGTCTCCGACGGGGATAACAGTCACTGCTGCAGGTAACGTCTCCGTGCTGCGTTTGCCCTGAACTGCCACGCTCTTTAATTCCCTGCTTATCTGTATTGCGAGGTATCCAAGGTGCCCCGTCGGCATATCTGTGCCAGACAGCGAAGCGACGTATCGCGGCCCAGGCTTACCATCCAGGCCAAATGTTTCAGCTGGTTCGAAATTTGGACCTGGGAACAGTCCATCCCAGAATCGGGAGTTGGCCAACTGACCGTATCTTTTGGCGACCGTATAGCTCCCTGGAGAGTTGTACCACCCCAGCCATCTTCGGCCACGGTATAGATGTACGGTAGCCATGGCTGAGAGTGTTTCGTCGCCGCCAAAAAAGCCGGCAACCCCGGCCGCATCAAGTGAGAACGAACTGATATCAATCAGTGGGTGCATTGTTGTGGACGTCAGAAATGACGGTGAACCACAACATGCTTGCGGCGATCTTCAAATATCAGCTCCGTTTATTGCGTTAACTTAGTAAGAGCTGTGGCTTCTGGGACAACTTGAACATCCTCGAGGCAGCCTTACGAAATGAATATATTGATCATCTGACCTCAGGGCCCTGAAGGCACTGCAAACTGAGCACCGAAATACCACACGATTTCACATCTTTGGAATCACTCTGATGGACTACTTCCATCACAATTAAGTACCAAGGATACTCATCCCATTTGAAAGAAGCTTGAAAATTCCTGTGCAACTATAAAGTCCATCCATCACAAAGGAATCTGATTGAACGCATGTTCCTCGGGAGGAGAAAACCATTGCGCCTACAGGATATTATTAGACGCCAGCTTTTTGGAACACGCTGATGGGCCTTTCAACCTTGACTAGTCGTCACAATCCATCGGATTTTCGTATAGAATCGAAAGAACTCATACAAATGTGGCGATTCAACGACGTGAGTGATGATAATTCCAAAGCTCGCCTGTCAAATACCACCTCCAAATAGGCTGATAATAGCCACAGGGGGAGGCCCACCCTCCCGGAGCTTTGTTTGCCCACAATAAGCAAAGACGTATTTTGAGGGATGCCACGTCACTGTAGGTGACGGTGCCAATGCAGGAACACGATGCAATGGGGCACCCGTCTCTGTTGCACACTATTGGGCCCAGATCATGTTAGACACTGATAAATGGCTAGAAACCGAGTCCTTACTATGTCGATGTAGGGTCCTGTATTTGCAATAGCGAGGTACTCTCCATCATACGAGAAACTCAATGCATTGATCGCATTTCTGAAGGAATCAAGTGAGTGGAGGGAGTGGCGTGTTTCGATCTACTCACTCGCAAGTGGAGATTGTCCGAACACATATCCATTCACTCAGATCGAACATGTTAACAATTGAGTCGTAGCCACCAGACGCGAGATATCTGAAACCAACGTGAGTGCATATCGATTAGAGTATGTAACAGTTAATGCGCACCTCCCCCGGGGATCGAGTGCTACTGCAACACAGCCTCCGACATGAGCGGCAGGGCTTTCTCTAAGGGTCAACGTTGGATAGTCCATGACCCGAACGCTATGCTCAGAATGATGTGTCAGAATTATACCATCACCGACATGATTGAACATGGCGGTGGATGCGACAATGCTCTGTCGAAAGATATCGGTAACTTGTTATATGATGGAGACAATCTGGAACAAACCCCGTCCTTGTCTGAGAGATGCCACTGCGCTTTTGCTGCATCACCATCTTTTCCGTATGTCAAGAAAAAGAGCTGGTGCCCGGCCGAAGTAAATATCAAAGCCCGGCCGTCCGGAGAGTAATTTGTTTGTACAGGTGAGATTTTTAGAATTATTTGCTGCGTGTGCCGACTTTCTTGAGTTCTATAAGAGTTGTTCACAATGTGTGCGAGACATATAAGACTTACGCCGTGCATCCCAAAATACAACCCTTCTGTCCTTCTGACTCGACGTACAAAATAACTCTGGATGAGTGGGATTCCATGATATGTAGTCAACATCATCGGAGTGACCGCCAGAAAAGTGGGTTGCAGCTCTTGATTCCATCTGCGATTAGGATACGGAGTGTAACTCGTGACGGAACGTTGAACGTATAGTACGTACGCTAGTTTCTGGAGTCCAGATCCGAGTGATTTTGTCGATACCAACGCCAGCTAAACGCTTCCCATCGCAACTCCATGCTACATGAGTTATAGCTTGAGGCGACGGTATACGTAGATCACGCGGTTTATGCGCTGGAAAGTTTTGTGCCTGATTCATTGGAGTACATTAACAATGCAAGGTTCTTTGGGATACGCAAAGATTTCTACACCCACGTGCAGACCGCGAGCAGCGAATGTTGTGTGAAGAGGGGGAGATGGTGGCCGCTGAAGGGGCGCTACCTCTTCTTCCTCCTTGCTGTTTACTTGACTTGACATTTCGGATGTGACTGGGCGTATAATAATAATATCTGCGAGATTTCAGACGTTGTTTGTCACTGTTAGGATCGATGAGCAATGGGAAACAACCAACATGATCTCTCTTGATAATCAGATATGAAAGCTCTCTGAGTCTCTGAGTCTTCCACCTTTCAATCGCGCCATTTTCAACTTGTTTGTTTTGTGCAACTTACAGGAAAGTCTGAGCCCGCAGAGTCAGGCAAATTGGTACGACTTCAGTGATTTACGGTAGATCGCTATCGACGACGTCTGTTTCCTCTGACGGGTTTTGGATACAGACATAGACCGACTCTGTCAACTTGTGCTCCTTATCAGTCAGATTGCTGATCACTTTTGTTGCCCTCGATCCCGTTCAGTCCAACTGAAACTAGAAGAAAATGACTTTGAATCATGTCTGGTTAGATGTAGATCCGGTACGCGATTGTCCATTTACTCTCGTTTGGCGTGGACGTGCTGAGGGAATGCCTTGTCTAGGGACATGATGATGCCACTGCAATTATGATGGCCTGTCAATTAGAGAATACCAAGCTCCTTGGGGTATCCAGTGTTCATGGCAATGCTTCCGCTGATTGCACTGCCAAGAACACCGCAAGGTGTCTGCACGCATTCGCTGCACCTTCTGATGTTCTAGTATATCCTGGCGCATGCAAGCCGTTACTTCGACCAACAAAACACGACCCTGAAATTCACGGAGAAGATGGCCTAGGAGGTGTTGTAGGGCTCCCTTCAGCTGATAGTCCTGAAGTTCAGGCACGATTCGCTCGGAAAGTTGATGGGTCAGTGATTCATGCCATCGAGGGGATGGCAACAGCGATCAAGGACACATGGCATAATGGTACTGGACATCAAGTGTCAATTGTCTCTTCCGGACCGATGACGAATATTGCCCTATTTATCAGCGTCTATCCAAACCTTTTGGAAGCAGTGGAGCAGTTTGTATTTATGGGTGGAGGTGTGGGCGTTGGTAATAGATCTGCCGTGGCAGGTATGTAACATGCTGTTGTACTTGAAGGTCCAATCCTTACAACGACAGTAGAGTTCAATATTATGTGCGACCGTGCGTGTCCTATCATTGAAATATGTTGTGATACTTGTCCTGATCTTCTATCAGCTGAGGCGGCTCAGATTGTCCTTGATGCTCCAGTCAAGACTGTCATGATACCCATCAATGTTACACACACAGCGATTGTCACTCCGGCTATACATTCCCGCCCTGAGATCACCCCATCTACCTCTTCTGGACGACGTGCTGGCACATCCATCCACCAATCTCCGAAGCACACTATCTTCCGTCATCAGTTTCTTCGCAGGAACATACAAGTCAACATTGGTTTTGATCAAGGTCCTCCTCTCCATGATGCACTAACCATCACATATGTGTCCCACCCCGAGCTCTTTGAAGCTCGGCGTTTTAGAGTGGATGTGGAGTTGCATGGTAAGCATACGGCAGGAGAAAACGGTCATCGACGTCTGGAATTATCGAATGTGTGACGACTCATGGGGCTCTAATGGGAAGAATTGCGTTGTCGCCCAGTCAGTTCAGGTGTGTCCGAACGTACGGCCAGCTTCTCTTCTCATGAGAACAATGTCTCTAGGTCGACCAGTTTTTTGAATTGCTTTTGAATTGTGTCTCCCGATGTGATGCCATATCTCCGCTCAACGTACAACAGTGACAGTTCTCAGAGCAGCACCTTCACACTTCTGGTCAACTTTTACCACCCTTCTTTACATTTACTCACGCTCTTACTGTCATTGCTGAAGGATATCCCCTATCTGTATCCCGGTGGCCTACACCAGGCACTGCCCTAAGCGTGGGACCGACCTTCAGACTTATTCTTTTACGTGTATTTAAACACGACGCACCTTATAACCGGTATATGTAGATGCCATTTCTGCCAGGACTTTGCCGCACCTATTGTATCAAGTTGTAGACGCCATAACAGTCGAGCGCTTTCGATAAGGCTATTCTTGGTTAGTAGTTACGATCCGCATGCTGTGAGTACACGCTTACCATCACAGATTGGCGACCACCCTCTGTCACAGAAATCCCCAATCATGCATGTCAAAACAACATCTCACAGGAACTGAGTAAAGTTATTGATCCTATGGATCCGTTGGCTGTGTTTTTTTCCAAGAACATTGATTAGTTGTTATGATGGCCACTGCCCATGTTGTCATTGCTACCTGAGGAACATCACTTCCTCCTATCAATATCAGATGGGTTTCAGCTACTAATTGCGATCCCGTGACAATTACCCTTTTCTGAAAACTTTGTTCCTTAACGTCAGTGGGGTGCTGCTGGATGGGGGCGAGATGCCGTGAGGCTAGACGATATATAAATGCATCTCGTCACGCCCTGTTACTAGACTGGCGCACCTCTCTTCCTTGGACAAATTTGCCTTGTGCCATCCGCTATGGGCGTCGACAAAGCGTGAGTGTCATGGTTCTAGCATACAAGGCCATCTGATGTGACGATGGCTTCTAGTGGTAAAAAATCAAGGTCAGTTTCGCGAACTATAGATATTGCGATTCTGAGTTATCCCCCAGTCGTTTCAATTTCATCCGCAAGTCAGCGTCACGAACCACCGATGACAGCACAATTCAGGTGTGATCCCTACTGCTTGTGCACGTGTTCTTGCTAATGTTCGATGTAGGAACTTGAAGCCTCTGTAGACGGCATCGAGGGTAATTCGACGCCTGCCCTAGAAGGCGCTCAAGGAGAAGAGGCAAGAGACTTGGAAGACGAACCAAACACGCAAGACGAAACAAACATGCAAGATGAAATAAATGCGCAAGATGAAACAAATACACAAGCAGGATCACCTCGCCAGGATCCCGTACCCATAGTGACAGAACCCCCACAAGACGAATCACTTCGCCAAGATTCCTTGTCCATAGTGGAGACAGAATCTCCGCAAGAAGAGCAGAAATGCAATCCATGCCTCCACCTTTAGACACCCTCGGCCAAGAGTTTGCTTACACTGCGGAGGATGCCGATAGAGCTGACAGCCCAGTCGAAGACCCTGAGGTCACCCTCAAGAACCTACGGGAGACTTTTCAGAACATAATCGACGATAAATTAGCGAACATACCTCTTCGCTTGATAGACACCCACAGCGGCATCCTACACACTAGCAATGACCTCGAGGGAATTTTCAAAGAGTCGGAGGAGTACCAACGACTCTATGAGAATCTTCTGTCCACCTCCGTGTCGAAGCTCCAGCGCAAAGTTGACGAATTCTTTCAATATGCAATGCTTTCCCACAAGTGGGCAAGTGCGAAGGACGAACCCCAGTATTGGCAGATCAAGGGCAACGTCTACGATATGGATGCCCCGCGGGAAATCTGCAAGCTGCAACAGTTCTGTACTACCTCGAAGAGAGAAGGCTACCGATGGGCGTGGAGCGATACGTGTTGTATCGATAAGACGAACAACGCCGAGCTTCAGGAATCCATCATCTCTATGTTTTCTTGGTACAAGGAATCGGCAATCACTATCGTTTACCTGCAGACGTTTCTGATATCTCGCAGTTGAAGGACAGTCAGTGGTTCAAGAGAGGCTGGACGTTGCAGGAGCTCCTCGCACCTCAATTTATTCGATTCTATAAGCAGGATTGGCAGCCACTCATCGATTCTGGTAAGAATCATAAAGTCGAACTTCTCACCATTCTCCACGACATCACTCGCATCGATATCGACGTTTTGAAGGTATTCCAACCCGGCGTTGACAATGTCAAGAAGCGTTGAGTTGGGTGGGCACTAGGACAACTAAGAAGATCGAAGATATTGCCTATTGCCTCATGGGTAAGCGTCACCGTAGCTGATGAATTGTTCTAACGCCCTTGCTAGGTATTTTCGGCATCCACATGCCTGTAATGTACGGGGAGAAGCATAACGCCTTCGTGCGGCTTCAGAAGGAGATCATGGCACTTACCGACGACCTCTCACTCTTTGACTGGTTGGGAGAGTCATCGACCCTCCACAGTTACTTTGCTGCCCATCCGAGGTGCTTTATGGCCCCGTCCTATGACGCTCGACAGGACTCTGCTTCATCGAAATTCGAATTCAGGTTGCTCAAAACTTCGAAGCGTATCACCAGTAGCTTGTCTTCTTCAGCTCTCAAGCTTGTCAAGGACGTTTTGAGCAACCCACCTCACGGACGTTTCATTGCGAATGGGAGAATGAGTATGCCCTTTTCGTTCACGAAGTGGTCACCCTTATCCCAAACCAAAACATGCCCGGAGTCTTCAGCTATCTCGTCAAAGCTGAGGGCCTTTCGGAGCTCGAGGTCACCGTCACGCGGCAGCTAGCTCCTTTATATGGAAAGAAACTAGCTATCAAATACCGCATCGTGCGAATGTGGGAAGCGAGTCTTATTCAACGTCAGGGAAGCACAGACGCCGAGGCTCCTGATGCCCTGACCGTTGACAGCCCTGGTTCTCCGGAGCCGCCCACAACAGAGGGCTCCCCGAAGCAGGAAAAGGACAAGGAAAGGACAAAGAAAAAGAGAAGACAAGGGCAAGGACAAGGACAAGGAAAAAGAGGAAAAGGACAAGGACAAGGAAAGTTGGGTCGGCAGATCCAAGGAACTCGTCACCGACTTTGTGGCCGACATGGTCACCCACAGTACCGCCGCTGCATTGATTCGGAGGATGCAAGAACCGTTTATTGCTCAACTTCTTTGTTCGCCTGGTGATAAGCAGCCTTGGCGGAGGGTTGGAACCACCACTCGTATCCTCGCCCATGCGTCTTCTGGGTCCGTTAATTTTAGGGCTCTTGAAAATGTCATCGTGCACTAAATCTTCACGCCTTGTCGTTGCTCGCTAGCACTTACATAGCTTTATTGTACCCATGTTTACAGCTGCGATTACGAACCCCACATTATGATTGATGAATTCCTATGATGTTGTCAACGAAGTATGAATGTATGAAGCTGGTCAACGAACGCCGAAAAGATTCAAAGAACGAACTTGAACTGAAATTGCATCCAACTTTAAAATCACACCACCAAAAAAGTACCGTGCATGGCGCTGTAGCGATGTCTCAATCTCAACTTGCTGTCATAGGCTCTATTTGGTTGGCGATTCATTGGGATCGAAATGTCGCCAGGTAGTTCTCTTGCGGGTGTCCGATGTGACAAGTTGAAAGAACTAGACGAGAAGACCAAAAGGATAGTGGAGAAAGCTGAGGAGGGACCACGCTGTCAAGCAAGCGAAGTTTTGAAATTCCTACATGTCAACCAAAACAGTCAGTTAAAGTCTGCGAATAGACTAAGAATGCCTTGATTAATTGTGATAGACGAACTGGAGGGATTCGCAACGGTGCGTGGATCTACATGGACATCGTCATGCAAGCTAGTTAAAGAATTCCGGAGGCGACTCTGGGAGACGGGCAGG